TGCTGGCAACAGGGGGGCTCGCAGGACCGCGCTGCGGGGCAGAGAGGGCTGCCAGTCCCCAACCCCAGCCTGACGGTCCTGTCTGCGACATAGGACTTGTTAGGAAAGGTGTGAAACCTTCTCCAGAGGCCAAGTTCATCCTGCAGCCCAGTGCCCAGGGACACCAACGGGACCCTCCAAGCAGAAGGAGGATTGAGAAGAAGCAAGCATGCACGACTGCTGGCAATGCCCTGCCAGCAAAGCGGGCACAGCTCATAACAGACCCCAGACACCTTATCCCACCTCGGCATGAGGCCACTGCTGCTGAGGGCATGCAAAACCATGCCCCTCTGCTCTGGCTCATTCCACCACATGCCCTGTATCATTCCCCATGTCCCACCCTGAGAAACGGTGGCTGCCGATGGCACAATGCCCCTCCTGATCGCAGGACTGCAGCCCCCACTTCCCACGCTGGCCCCCCCGTCTGGTGCATCCAGTGGTGAGCAAGTCTCCCAATGCCCCATGTGCTCAGTGACCTCCCACCAGTCTCCACAAAGCACTGGACAAGCAGCTTCACTAAACAGGGAGGTACCTCACGAAATTTACCACTTGGTATTTCAGAGAAGTGTTACTATCAGTGACCAGAAAAGACAACAACACAAAACAGGGAGCTCCACCATCCATCAGCACTCCCCCTGAAGCAGCCCACTTTGTGCACGTTATCCAGCACGCAGCAGCCAGAGATCAGTGCTCTGGTGTGGTAGGAGCCCTACAAACACCACAAGAAAGCATGCACATCCACGGCGCGGCTTCAGGTCAGCTGAGCACCCGGGACACCCTTTGCTGGCGGGAGTGGCTCTGACCCCACGCCGGGTGGTTCTGGCTTTGCCCTATCCCCACCACTGCCAGCTCATGCCCACTCACGTGCTGGGAAACGTGCTCCAACGAGGACTGTGGTTACCCTCTAATGCCAGAGTTCATCTCACATATGGTGCTGTTAAAAGCAATTGGGAACCAGGCTCCGTTCTTCTCTCACAGATGCATGCTGGCACGGCAGGCAAGCACTTAGTGCTTTGAACAATACTGTTTGACCAAGCATGGGGAATTTTACTTCTCCTTGCAGCCATCTTGACTTCCAGCTATCCTGCAACTGTCACGAGGGAATCTGCTCAAGAAAGCACAGACCTGCCTTGAAACTGAGTTTCAAGTTTGTCCTAGGGTCCTACACAACGCCTGGGTACCAAGTGAGGAATCCCCCGCTTTACTGCAAGAAATACAGATATGCTGCCACAGCCCCGCAGCAGCACTCCACGCAGTCCGCTGGGAAGGAAGGTCTCGTGACAGCGGTGCCACGTCCCTCACAGCTACGGTCAGCGGGGCTCTGAGCAGCTCTGAGCCTCCCCCCCCCCCCCCCCCCCCCCCCCCCCCCGCCCCTGCCTCAGCTGCAGCACACCTCCACGATGCCAAAAGCTCCCCAAACCTCTCCAGCACGGTCGCCACAATCTCTCCAGCCACCACTCTCATTTTCTCCCGGCCATCCGCGGGACAAGCGTCCAAAGGCTCTGCCTCTCTGGCACTGCCAAACAACCTTCCGCTGACCTCACGGGGAGCCCTCCTCAAGACGTGGACGCACTGAGCCAGCGCCTTCACCCGCTCCAGCACTTCCTCGACCATGCTCTCAGCCACCTCTTTGAGCTCCTGGTCTTCTGCCAGCGCAGCCCGCAGCAGCGCAGCCTCTATGCTCTTAGGCGCTTCTTCTCCGGCACGCTTCGGACACTACAATGAGGAGCACTTGATGAGTCAACGTGGTCCTTCACCTCCCTTTGCTTTCCTCTTCCTCCTCACAAGACGCCTGCCCAGACGAGTCCCTAGCACTCAAGCTTGAAACACTTCTCTCTAGGCCTTCTCTCTAGGCCACCTGGCCCACGCAGCTTGCGGCTCTCCCGCGGCCAGGAGCCAAGTGCTGGGGGCACTTCTCCGAATCAAGCACGTGACATTTTCCTTAGAGCAAAGGGTGCTCTAGCCCCTTCCGCCCGCACCTCGGCACG